TTTTTTTTTCATTCTTTTGCTTTGATTAAGTTCTCTCAGTTTACTACAACTAATGCATGGCTCCTGCACGCTATGAGCACAAGAATGTGCTGCTAAATAGGTATGCAAATTTGATTATAATCGGTCACTTCATTTTTCACTAGGAAAAATGGCATGACTCAGCCTGCTTTCTGGGTTCGGGCTTTCCATAATATATACCTTTGTTGTCCAGAGCACTCTCCTCCTATTGTCTCTCCATGAAAAACAGTGGCCGGCCCGTGATCAGCCTGATGAACAAATCCACACTAAGGCAAAAGCTTCTAGTTTGGGAGTGATCAGCCTGATGAACAAATCCACACTAAGGCAAAAGCTTCTAGTTTGGGAGTGATGGCCTGATGGGCCCAGCCCGAGATACTCATGCATTGTGTAGTCTCTAGTGCCTGCGATCCAAGCATTTGTTGGTCCCCTCGAGAAGGATATCGAAAGCGCTTATGTTGCCGTGCTCGTACTTGGGCTTCGTGAAGTTGTATAGATGGAGAAGCCCGTTTATGATGGTGAACCAGATGGAAATCAGTTGGTTCTAGTAAGTATTCTCCAAACTTTGGCCTTAAGTTTGTCGTTTGAAACTTCTAGCCCAAAAAGTATGTCTATAAGTTTGTGTTTTGCAATTTCTGACCCAAAAAAGCACCCACTAACTACTAAGTTATTAGTAGTTAAGAATTGACATAACTAATTAATCGCTCAGTGATTTCAGTGATTTCATTTGCGATCGTCGATGCAAAAATAAGAATAACCGTTTGTGGGAGATTCCCTTCAAGGGTCTTGAAACTCGGGAAATAACGCTTGACCCCAATTCCCACTCTCGAATGAAATCAACCTTTTGCATGGTCCATGTTTTACGATATCTTGCTCACCAGTCGATGAGTACATTCATTAACCGAGGACCCCTTGCTCGACGCCCATACCTTTAATCTGGTCATGCACTCTTTCACTTGGACGAGGAATTCTTCTCATTGAGGTGTAAATTGATCTGAACTGCACAAGGAAAGATCTTAATCGGTGTAGGGCGAGCGTCGAGCTTTCCTATTAAGCCGCGAGAAGAGTCTGACTTTCCCATATATAGAACCTTTTATGCACGGGAGCGTAAGAGCATATACAATAGTACATGAATTGCTCTTTTTTATTGCCATGTGACATTCAAAATGTCTAGAAGACTTTCTTGATAGAGAAGTACTTCTAGACATCTTCAATTATATTTTATATTATTTATTAAATATATATCTAATCTCCAACCAATTATAACCTGACATGTGTCAGATTATACTAAAATTGATATTAACCAACGAAGACAAAATTTTATAATTTTCTTCCATGTTATACGTTTTCAAATAGATACTATACTATCGGAGATGCTCTAAGCCCAATATGCAAAAGGTGATTTCACAAGGTTAGCCTTTTCTTCAATACAAGATATACGGAGGCTCATTCCTCTTCGAGGAAACTTTCGGTTTGCAACACCTCTTCGAGGAAACTTTCGGTTTGCAACATTGTGAGTAGGGGTGCAAACGAGCCGAGCCGAGTCGAGCATTGGCGTTATCGAGCAGGATTGAGTTTTTTTTTTTTAGCTGCTCGAGCTCGAGCTCGAGCTTGATTTTTAGGCTCGAGCTCGAGTCGATAAGAAATTACAATAGCTCGAGCTCAACTCGTGCTCGACTCGAAATCAAAATGCTCGAGCTCGGCTCGAGTTCGACTCGAAAATTAGATAAAATCAACATTAAACACCTATGCCAATATATATAATAAGGGGTATTTTTGTCATTAACGTATATATCGAGCCGCTCGACGAGCCGCTCGACAAGGCAAAATATAGGCTCGAGCTCGACTCGAGTCGAGCTTTGACTCGAGCGAGCCGCTCGACTCGTTTGTAGCCTTAATTGTGAGTCCAAAGCTTGAAATCAATTTCATTTATCAACCATATTGTTGGATGATCTATCTTGTCAAATGATACAATTATATTATCAGTTTTGTCTCAGCAGAATTTTTTGAGAGCTTCAATTAATAGTTATTAACTAGTATGTAACCCGTGCGATGCACGGGCTAGTACATGTTTTGAAATATTTTAAAAAAATTAAAAAATCATTAATTAGTAAGTTATTATAATATGTATGACATTCATAAAGTAAACATAAAATTGTCATTTGTAAAAAGTTATACATTATTAAAAATCTCCTTATATACAACGTTATTAGTTTGATTACTGGGTAACTCATCGTCCCCACAAACTAATATTTTCAACCCCTTCCTATTAGTAACACGTGAAACAACGACGTATAATTGGCCATGACTAAAAACATGTTTTTTAGTTAATTTGTGTATCTGATATTGTTAAGTATATATATTTGTTTATCTAATGGTTCACAGTTATTTTAATTATTAATTATTAGTAAAGATTATAATATCCTGATTATACAACATGTATTAAAATAATGAAATCATCATTAAAATAATTAAATCGTCATTAAAACAAAACTTTATACACGAATTCATTATTAATTGATTATAGAAACACAATTTATAGAAACAATTTATAGAAATGAATCTCCCAAATGTATTATTATATTATTTAATTATATTATTCAGTTAATTGATTAATTGATCAAGCTTAATATTTTTTTAAGCGCATAAAAGAAAAAAAAGCAAATTTTGTTATTTTTAATATAATATCCTATTTTTTAATTATTATAATGTAATCTATTTAAAAAAAAAGGTGAGTATGTTAAATTGTTCAAGCATGCAATGATTTAATCGAATAAATTATAAAATAGAATAAATTCAATAACATGAAATTATAAATTATTAGAATTTGAAAGAACACAAATAAACAGATATACGAAAATAAATCATGTAGAACAAATAAAACAAACAAACAATAAAAGAACTGTATGTAAGTACAAAATCGAAGGAGGAGTCTACTAATAAAAATTTATTCATGATAAAATGTAGTACACATCCATCATCAAATCTATATATAATAAGAACATAAAAAATCTAGACGACAACCATATCTCGATCATTGCTAGTATTGATGAAAATTCCCATTGTATTTGATAAAATCTATCCTTCCATTAAGGACAATCTTCCAACAATGAGTTATTATATTATTCCTCCCACTATTATATTCAACATTGTAATTGCGAATAAAATACACCTCGCCTTGTTTAAGGCGATCTCGAAATATGCTCATATGCTGCGAACGTACTATTCCTTTCATGTATGAACCCTACATAGTTGAAATAATAAATAATACAAAAAAAAATGTAAATTCAGTTTCGAAAATAATAAATAATACACACAATGAAATTAATGTTAATGATAAAATATTTGAAAATAATTACCCCTTCATCATGAAACAGGATATGAAAGGCGTTTGGATGCTCTGGATCGTCATGAGTTTCCAGCAGTAGAACTACTCTCAACTTAAAAAACGGTTTGCTGAATCGACTCACGACGTCTACTGTACCTCTGAATGGTGCCATAAAATAATTTTTGTATTTTGTGATTTTTGTTTTCCTACGCGTGTTGAGGATTTTTCCATCATCCTTTTTAGATATATATAGATGTGCAATTGCTTTTATTCCATATTTAATGGCGTGAAAAAATAATTTTTATTCCATTCCATACAAAAAATAATGTTAATCGGCAGTAATTTAATAGTGATAATGGAGCAAAAAAAAATGGCTATGTACGTTCCAATTCCAAATTATGTGCAATTGCTGTTATTCCATATTTAATGGCGTGTATAAAAGATTTTTATTCGATTTCATATTTAAACGGGCAGCAATGAATAGTGATTTTAAAAATTGTGATTAAAGTTGATGACATTGACATTTTAAAAATTATTAATTATTGCTATTTTAAAAATTGTTATTAAAGTTGATAGTGATATTTTTTAAAATTGTGATTAAAGTTCATGACATTGACATTTAAAAAATTATTAATTATTCATATTTTAAAAATTGTTATTAAAGTTGATAGTGATATTTTAAAAATTGTGATTAAAGATGATAGTGAATTTAAAATTTATGCAGTAATGGACAGTTGATAGTTTTTAATTATCTGAATTAAATTTAGGAACAAAATAAAATACTAAAATAGTATTATATGGATAATGGCAGCGATTTTATGATTTTTATTCCATTCCATACAATTGTTGTTATTCCATATCCATGTAAATCGGGCATAATTAATAGTGTTTTTCTGAAATTGGGTTAAATTACTATTCATAGGCAGTAATTAATGTTTTTGGCGGGAATTAGTTACTAAAAATTAATTAAGTTAATCCTTATTATATATTAATAGATATGAAAGTTATAAAAGTTTTTCAGAAATAATATTTTTTGGTTATAATAAAAATTATACCAACATATTTCATTCTCTATTCCATCTCTCTCTATTTTTAAAAAAAGTGTAATAAAAGAAAGGAATAAAAATCGATAAATAAACCATTGTTTTTCAATCCTGACCAGCCCGACAGGTCAACCTCGGGCCCGGTCGACCCGGAGCCGGAACCGATTCGGGTGGGCTATTCGGACCGGACAAGAAGGGATCCGGTCAAGCTCGGTCAAATCCCGGCCAACTCTGTCTTGACCCGGTCGACCTGGGGCATTGACCCGGCTGGTCAACCCAGCCCTGTATTTTTTTTTTTAGAATATTTTTTTGTTTTTAACAAATGAAACTATGTATATATATTTATTTGGTAAATATTTATTATGAAATACATACTATTAACACTTTTAAAAAAAAAAATAATGTACAAATTTTATATACAAAATATTTAATTTTTTTTTATTTTTTATATATTTACTAGTACAACACCCGTGTATTACACGGATGCTTGCTAATTTTTTTCTTAAAATTTAAAATTAATGAGAAAAAGTAGTTGAAATTTTAAATACCTTTTACAAATATATATATATATATATATATATATATATATATTATATATTTAGTATGACACTTTTTATTTGTGCGACTTACCTTTCATATTATAATAATTTTTTAACTTACAACATATAACTACATTAAAAATAAATATATAATTGATAAATAATTTTATTTTTCTAATGAATTTTAATAAATATTATTATTCTTTATTATTATAAAGATAAATATAAATTTATTTCATATATACAATATGGATGTCAAATCGAAGATCATCAAAAGATAATTAATTTGATATATAATATATGTAAAACCGATAAGAAATACAAAAGTTATCAACATTTAAAATATATTTACAATTTAATAGCTAATTGAAAAAAAAAAATCAAAGTCATGGATATATTAGTCACTTAGTGTCTCATTATGTAAAATTACAAATAATTAAAGGGTTATACTAGTACAAGGATATTAAAATACTAAGTTAGATAAATAATATTTATGGAATGTCCGAACCTAGATTATTAATTATTAATATATCAATATTATTTGTTCAAACCTAATTACAAAGCATGATTTTTCGCTAAATAGGATTACAAAGCACTAGAAGCAGCCACGTAGGTTAACGCATTTGAAAATTATATATAGAAAGGATATCACAAAATACTTTATATATAATTTTAAAAATTTTAAAATTAATAATTCGGTTCAGTTGACCCGCTAACTCGATGGTTGACCCGGTGGATTCCCGTACAATAAACAAAACGCATGAATACATTTTCATTCATCTTCCTGAAATGATGTCTGCCAAACTGTCAACTACCAACCGTCGCCGCCGTACTCAGTAGACTTTCTCCTTCCGGTAGCCAAATACTCCGCGTGCCTCGCCGCAAAGAATGGCAAATCTCCCCTCCCAGATCAGCCGCCTTTTGATTCTCCGCCGCCACGACGCCCTCAAGAACCTCGGCTTCACCTTCTCCGACCACCTCGTCGACACCGTCCTCGAGAATCTCAAGCGCCACCCCGACTCCGCCGCCTACTTCTTCGACCTAGCCTCCCGGCAGAACTACTTCAGGCCCCACTTCAAATCCTACGTCAGGCTCATCCACATCCTGTCCCATGCCAGAATGTTCGACCAAACGCGGTCATATCTGCGTGGCCTCGTCGAGCTATCGGAAAGCAGCCACCTTCCGGTTTCTTTGATTTACGATGAGCTGGTCTCTGTTTACCGAGAGTTCAAGTTCTCGGCAACGGTTTTCGACATGGCGTTGAGGGCCTTTGTGGACAGGGGGCTGTTAAAGAATGCCCTTTTCGTGTTTGATAATATGCCTAAATGCGGCCGCTTGCCAAGCTTGCTGTCTTGTAATGCTCTGCTGAGCCGTTCAGTGAGAAATAAGGATTTTCATCTTGTTTACTGTGTTTATGATCAAATGATCCGAGTTGGGGTTGTGCCTGATGTGTACACTCATGCGATCGTGGTGGATGCATATTGTAAGGATGGTAGGGTTTATAAAGCTATGGAATTTGTCGAGTGCTTGGAGAGAAAGGGATTGGATTTGAATGTCGTGGCTTATAATAATTTGATAAATGGATATGTGGAGGCGGGGGATGTAGAAGGAGTGGGTAAAGTGTTGGGATTAATGGGTCGACAGGGGATTTCGAAAAATGTGGTTACGTGTACGCTTTTGATTAAGGGTTATTGTAAGGTAGGGAAAATTGATCGAGCTGAAAAGGCATTTAGAGAGATGAAGGAAGAAGGAGGAGATGAATTGGTCTGGGACGAAAAGGTATATGGAGTACTCATCGATGGGTATTGCCGTTGTGGGAGAATGAATGATGCTTTGAGAATTAAAGAGGAGATGATGAGTTTGGGATTGAGTATGAATTTGTTCATTTATAATTCTATGATAAATGGGTACTGCAAACTCGGCCAACTCCGTGAAGCAGAGGAAGTCATATCGAGCATAGTCGAAGGCAACTTGAAGCCTGATGGTTATAGCTACAACACGTTATTGGACGGCTATTGTAAACGGGGATTGATTGATAAATCTCTCCTGCTCTGTCGTAAAATGGCCGCAGATTTCGTGTACCCTACTAATATAACTTACAATACTCTTTTAAAAGGTTTGTGCCAGTTTGGTGATATTGATGATGCTTTGTCTCTTTGGAATTTGATGCTCGAGAGAGGCTTTGTTCCTGATGAGGTTGGGTTTAGCACGCTATTGCACGGTCTTTTCAAGAAGGGGAAGTCTAATGCAGCCTTGACACTGTGGAAACATGCTCTGGCAAGAGGCCACGCGAAAAGTCGTATTTTATTCAACACAATGCTCGATGGATTGTGTAAGCTGGGAAATTTGAATGAAGCAGCTCAAATTCTTGAAAAGATGAAGGAACTGAGTTATTCACCGGACGAGGTGACTTGTAGAACCTTGATCGATGGTTATTGTCGAGCAGGAGATGTGGAGACAGCTTTTAAAATTAAGGGCATTATGGATAGAGAAGGTTTTCCAGCTTCCATTGAGATTTACAATTCGCTTATAACGGGCTTGTTCCAGGTGGAAAAGGTGGACAAAGTCCTCGACCTGCTTTCGGAGGTTCACGCAAAAGGGCTAAGCCCTAATGTTGTCACCTACGGAGCCCTTATAAGCGGTTGGTTTAGAGCTGGGAACATGAAAAGAGCTATGGACTCGTATTTTGAGATGAGAGGAAAAGGAATTGACCCGAATGCACACATATGCAACACCGTTATAAGCGGCCTGAACAGGCTTGGTAAAACTGAGGATGCGAATATGCTGCTGCTGAAAATGGCAGATTTGGATGTGATCCCAGACCTTAGGCAGTTTTACGATTCCTTTAGCTTCAATAAAATTAGTGTAGAAACGCGAAGAATTGCAGATTCCCTTGACGGAAGTGCCATGAGATGTATCATCCCGAACAACGTTATGTACAATGTAATTATAGCCGGGCTGTGCAAATGTGGGAGAACTGATGATGCAAGAAAAGTCATCTGTGATTTGTCTAAAAGAGAATTTGTTCCAGATGAGTTCACGTACTCAGCCCTTATTCACAGTGCCTGTGTATCTGGTGCTGTTGATGAAGCTTTCCTGTTGCGGGATGAAATGCTGGAGAAGGGTCTTTCTCCAAATATAGTTACATATAATACTCTAATCGGTGGTTTGTGTAAATCGGGTAACCTCGGCCGTGCATTGAGGCTTTTTCACAAGCTTCCTTCAAAACATCTGGTTCCGAATGTCATAACCTATAATTCTTTGATCGGCTGGTGCTGTAAGAATGGGAGTACCAATGAAGCACTTAAACTTATGGGGAGAATGACAAAGGAAGGAATTGCCCCTTCGGCCAGGACATATTCTGCCTTTCTCAGTAGCTATTTACAGCAGGGGAATGTAAAAGAATACCAGAGAATTTTAACAATGAGGCAAAAGCTTGAGTCAGACCATCTCGAGGAAGGTATTTTGTCAGATGTATCCCAAAATTCAGTTTTTAGTGTCTATTCTTTGCTAACTATTTGATTCTTGTTTTTTTTT